TGCTCGGCGTGGGTCTTCCCTTGGAGGTTGCTCAAGATAACTGGCCAAATGCGCCTAACAGAAGGTCGAATAGCTGGGTGATCTCGCCAAGTACGCAGCCACATGTCGACGGCCTTGACGGGCAGCGTGTGCGCGGGGTCCATGTCAGGGGTCTTGATATCCAGCAGCGCGGTCAAGCACCTGCCTCGGTTGCCAGCTGATACCGACTGCCCGAGGCGACGGCGGACCGAGACCATCTGCTGGCCAAAGACTCCATGCACCTGGTGGCCATAAAGGCCTGCAGGGAGGCCCCCCTGCTTCTGTAGTTTCGCCGTAACGTGGTACTGCCTGGAGGCCTTAGTGAACTTGCGGATCTTGGTTGATATCTGCTTGTGCTTCGTCTCCCGTGCACGCCTGGTCGACCTGGCCATCCTGCCGCAGCCGAAATCGACGCCTAGGTACGTGGCCTGTGAGACACCCCTGATTTCATAACCTCTGCTGCGAACATCCTTGACAATAGCCCTCGTGTCATGCATGTTGGTGCACATGATGATGGACTTCGCGGCAACTTTCAGCTTCCTGAGCTTCAGCTGCTCGCACGTGAACACTATGCATTCCACCATCTGTCGTCTGAGTGCCTTCCTCGAACCTGCCATACGTTGAGATAAGTCGTCGATCCACAATCTGCGATCGAACTGTGGGTGCACGGTCGCAACTGCTTCCATCACGAAGTGAGTGAGCGCCTTGGCAAAGCGCGTGCCAGAGCGTAGTCCTTGGACTGCACTCTGGCTGGGTTCGAACGGGTCAGTCGCCGCGCCCATTTGTTCTAGTGCCCTGGGTGCTACACATTGCACCAGCTCGAGGTAAAGCACAACAGGAGGAAATTTGAGTCGAAGCGCTGCTGCTACTAGAGGCTGCCATGGTATTGAGTCGTAGAAGGCTTCTATGTCAAGCATAGCGTGCCCATGCTGCATTTTGAAATTATGAGCGACCTCTTCACTTATCGAACGTAAGAAAGCCTCTTGGAGGCATGAATTGCCACGTATAGCAGCGTCCCAGTGTGCCGATTGTTCTTTACTCCATACCTGAATTTCTTCTTCACGAATCATTGACCATACTCGACCCAGCATAGAGACCAAGCCTATCGCTCGATCTCCCGAACTCTTCTTGGGAGTGAGCCGTGCGAGGATCAGAAGCACCTGCACTGGCCACGTGAGGGCGGCCTCCACCGCCTCCAGCAGCAGGGCCATCTCGGCCAAGCCTGCTGCTGGGAGGCGCTCGTAGTCGACGGGCGTGAAGCCGTCCACGCCGGTGCCTGCGTTCGCCTTCATCCTTCGGCATGCCTTGACGATGCTGGTGGGGCCGATGGGCTCGAGCGGGGCGTCGACCGCCTCAGCTCGGATCTGCCTGAACAGCTCCCTGGTGTCGCTGAGGCTGACGGTAGTGGGAGCCCATAGCTTCTTGTAATGCTCCATCTTCTCGTCCATGATATCTTTGGGGTGGTAGATGGTGCGTCCGTCCATGGCCAGCTCGACCGCTGGTAAGACCTTGGGCTTCAAGGACTTGTGGAGGATCCCGCACGCCTTCGGCTCCGTCACCCACTGACGGAAGTCGTGCAGCGATGACTGGACTGCTACCCGCTGTGCTCGAGCTGCCACACGTTTGGCACATCGTTCCCATGATTCCAGTACTGGTAGGGCAACCTGGCCTCCGCAGCGCAGAAACTCGGTCCACTTCTCCCACGGCGGGTCCTTGTCGAGCCTTAGCAAACCATGGGCGTCGGCAGGAACATCGCCAAGGAGCTTATGGCAAGCGGTGCGGTATCCATCCAGCTGTACATGTCCGTTGTCACGCAACGTGTGCCGCAAGACTCCAGCCACAACTGTGCGCACTCTCGTCCACCATTGAGCTCGACCATCTCGTAAGTGGAGCTGCCGACGGTGTGAAGCCTCGTGGACCGAGCGCACGCGAAACTGTGGACCGTTCGCATGCGGCGTGCCAGCCATGGCTTGATCGTGGTGCGCGAGGATGGCGCGCTCTGCCGTGGTCGCCCACGCGGCATATAAACCTGATATTGTGGCGGAGTGTTTTGGTTCGAGCCGAAACGCTACGGAGTGCAGCAAAGGAGGGGAGACATATTCTAAACAAATGGCTCCTGACGCAAACCCAACATCTTCCCGAATCTGACACCACAAATCCTGCGGTATCTTGAACGACGGTTCGGGGGTGGTCGCGGCAGGGCCAGTCTGCTCGGGCTCGGCTCCTCGGGTGCCTTCCATGGCATGGCCGTTTAAACCGTCAGGGGGGGGCTGGCTCGAATTGGGGGGGGGGCTGAGACCGCACATAGACGCATCGATGCCAGCAGTGGCACCAGTCTCCCGATGACTGTCACGTGCTGGCTGATTCGGAGTCCTGGGCGCGGGAAGAGGGGCCGAGGGAGGGGCAGCAAGGGCTGGCGTGACAATATGTTGGCTGATCGTCACGTCAGGACAGAAATTAAGCTCGTTTTCCCATGGGTCGG